CCTTCCCCCTCCTCCCTCAAACTCCATATACGGCATATCTTGACCTTTAACCAGGGGGTCTCTCTTTATGCCCGGGAAATTCATTTCTCGGAAAACATCGCCTGCCCCCCCCCCTCTCTCCTCTCACAGTGTGTCAACGTATGTTTAAAAACGTGACTGGGTTGAAGTTTTGAGTACTCTTAGGGGTTTTTTTTTTGGCAAGGGGGCCGCAGACACATGATTGGCTAAAACCATTTTGAGTGTCATCTCCCTAGGAGGCAGGGCTAAAAGCTTAAAGCTCCTCCTCCCTTGGGACGGGGTTAAGGTAAAATTTTCCACTAGATATAACCCTCATTTTATCCCCCCCCCCCCCTCATACTTTCATGTGTTTTAAGTTTTACTGTTCAGGTTAAAATAACACTTTATAAAACTGCTCTGACTGTCTGGATTTTTGTAAATCTGTCTTTAAAGACTTTTGAATTTAATCTTTCCCAAAATTCTTCAGAAACTACTTAAACACAATATAATGCACTAAATACGACAAAGCACAGACAAGGAGAAATAAAATTCTTATGACCACTGAGATCCACTATTTAGATTTTAATTATTTGAGCCCTTGGCTTACGCGTAGCGATGCCCCGATGGCGTATCCCCTTTGAGGATCTACAAAACATGTCTCCTTTCCGTTTTGCCTTCCGTAGAGCTCCACTGGCTCCGAAAATCGGACATCAAATCTGAGGTTAATCCATTGGAAAGTCATCAGGATTGGCTGGTTGATATCGAAACCTAGTATCTGTAATCGTTGAATGTTGATGACACGTGCAAAAAGTGATTGGGAAAACTATGGTAAACTATAGAGCAATAAAGAAAAATATGGTAAACTATAGAAAAGTATAGAAAACTGTGGGAAAATATAGGAAACTTTGGAAAACTATGGGAAAGCATAGGAGACTATGGAAAAAACATAGAAAACTATTGCAAACTAAGAAAACATATAGAAAACTATGAAAAAATATAGAAAATTATGGCAGAACTATGGGAAAATATAGGTAACTATGGCAAACTATGAAAAAAACATAAAAAACTATGAAAAAATATAGAAAATCATGGCAAACTATGGAGAAAAACAACCTAGGAAAAACTGTGGAATACTGTGGCACACTAACAAAATCTGAAAATCAAAGTTTAGAAACAGAATTTATTATATTTTCTTAGCTAAACCATATTATATAAATGTTAAGTTTTAACGTCTCACGTACACCATTACTTTCATACTAAATGTCTCACGTACACCATTACTTTCATACTAAATGTCTCACGTACACCATTACTTTCATACTAAATGTCTCACGTACACCATTACTTTCATACTAAATGTCTCACGTACACCATTACTTTCATACTAAATGTCTCACGTACACCATTACTTTCATACTAAATGTCTCACGTACACCATTACTTTCATACTAAATGTCTCACGTACACCATTACTTTCATACTAAATGTCTCACGTACACCATTACTTTCATACTAAATGTCTCACGTACACCATTACTTTCATACTAAATGTCTCACGTACACCATTACTTTCATACTAAATGTCTCACGTACACCATTACTTTCATACTAAATGTCTCACGTACACCATTACTTTCATACTAAATGTCTCACGTACACCATTACTTTCATACTAAATGTCTCACGTACACCATTACTTTCATACTAAATGTCTCACGTACACCATTACTTTCATACTAAATGTCTCACGTACACCATTACTTTCATACTAAATGTCTCACGTACACCATTACTTTCATACTAAATGTCTCACGTACACCATTACTTTCATACTAAATGTCTCACGTACACCATTACTTTCATACTAAATGTCTCACGTACACCATTACTTTCATACTAAATGTCTCACGTACACCATTACTTTCATACTAAATGTCTCACGTACACCATTACTTTCATACTAAATGTCTCACGTACACCATTACTTTCATACTAAATGTCTCACGTACACCATTACTTTCATACTAAATGATATTACCTCGTAAGCTAAATGTTTTATTTTAAAATGCTTTTTTAAAAAAATGTATTGCTGCGACGCTAACATTTACAGCAAAAATTACATGAAGATATTTTGGTATAAAAATGACTCCTATTACTTTTCGCTTGTATCTGATCTCGGGGATTGGGCCCGGGGGGGGGGGCACTATAATGCTAGTTTTCTTTCATTAATTGTTGGGTATAATGTGCTAGGGATCGTTCCAGCTTTTTAACACGTTTCTAAAGCTGCCCGCTGGGATGCTACTTTGCAGCCAATTGCTATTTAAAAAAAAAAAAAAAAAAAATTCTTTTTCTGTTGTTTGTTCGCTGACGAAGGCTTTCTGCCCTCAGTTTAAATTGTTTGGTTGTGTTCCCTTTCCAGGTTTTTGCATACTTTCTTTCACTCATTTCCTTTTTAAAGTGTACTTTTCTTTCACAGTTGCAATTTTTGCAATCCTCCGACATTCCTTTCAACACATGCATCGGGTAACGGAAACGAACTCAGCATCCTCTCTTCCTCCCACACTACACTGGTTCCGCTGTCTGCCGACACATGCTCTCATTTAACGGTAGATAAAACATGCCAATGGGCTTTCCTTGTTCCTCGAGTTCATCTACGGAAATAAACCCTTCAGGTCAAGAATGTTGATTGGGGTCAAGGTTGTCCAACGTACTTTGTGCATACGGACAATCCTTTCAAAAAAAATTATCTTGTAAAAGTTCACTAGAACTTAAAGATGCCCGTAAAAAAATTTGCTCAAGTTCATTTACAGAAATAAACCCTGCAGGTCAAGAATGTTGATTGGGGGGTCAAGGTTGTCAAACGTGAATAAATTTACATACGGGCCAACCTTTTAAAAAAAAATGATCTTGTAAAAGTTCGCTAGAACTTAAAGATGTCCGTAAAAAATTAAGAAACTACTACCCCCCCCCCCCCCCCCAACCAGACCTCCCGAAATTGTAACGCATTATAATCTTGAGGATTTGTATGTCTTCTTATTTACTTGATACCAAACTTCCATGATCCTAAGCAAAAAAAAATATTAAAATTGATAATTCCACACCATCAGATAAACGCTTTTTTTTTAAAACAAAAGGAAAAGGCCAACGCCTCATGGTCGCATTTCGTATCATAAGAACACAAAGGACATCACATAGTCATTCGGAAATCTGAATATTTTTTTTTTAAAGCCTCATCGTTTCAACAAGTTTATTTTAAATAAAATTTGTCCGAAAAAAAAAAAAAAAAGAAATGGTTTTGTCCATAACAATTGAGAAGATTTCAAACATTTGAAAGCAAAATGTCATTTGGTAAAAAAAAAAAAGTCAGATTTGTCACACTTCTTTCACAAATTAAATCGCGATGCAACTGAACAAGGTACAAGGCCAATCATACATAGGGCGTGGGGTCAAACCAAGGCTATGCAATTTGAGCAGCTCAGATTGAGCATCCAGTTCTTTCTGCGGTGGGAAGACCACAGGGCTCTGGACATGCACATAAAATTGAAAGTAAACGTGGCAGTGAAGCAAAGGTAAACATTTTTCAGTGATCTGGAAGTGAACTGTTTAATGAACCGGAAGTGAACAGCTATGAAATTTTGAAGAAAAAAAAAAATGAGAAACTTGAAGTGATCATTGAACCAGGGACTGAACAATACAGTGAACGTGATGAGAAACTTGAAGTGATCATTGAACCAGAGACTGAACAAGACAGTGAACCGGACAGTCGGCCTGAAAATGAACTGAGCAGTGAACTGAGGCAGTCAGCCGGAAATAGAACAGAGCAGTGAACGGAGCAAGGATCGGAGTAGAGAACCAGACAAGGAACCAGGCAGTAAACTGAGGAGTCAACCGGACGTTGAACATGAGCATGAACGTAGGAGTGAACGGAACTGTGAACCGGACAGTTAACCGAGCAATCAACCGGATAGTGAACGCGATGGTAGTCTGGGCTGTAAATTAGACAATGAAACGGAAGTAAACTGGTTAGTGAACAGAAAATAAAAAGATTTTCAGTGAACCGGGCGATAAGCATGCCTTTGAACTGATCAGTGAACCGGACAGCGATACGGAAATTGAACAGTACAGTGATACGTAAATTGAACAGGACAATGATACGGAAATTGAACAGGACAGTGATACGGAAATTGAAGAGGACAGTGATACGGAAATTGAACAGGACAGTGATACGGACATTGAACAGGACAGTGATACGGACTTTGAACCGGACATTGACACGAAAATTGAACAGGACAGTGATGAGGACAGTGATACAGACATTGAACCGGACAGTGATACAGACATTGAACCGGACAGCGATACGGACATTGAACCGGACAGTGATACAGACATTGAACCGGACAGCGATACGGACATTGAACCGGACATTGATACGGACATTGAACCGGACAGCGATACGGATATTGAACCGGACAGTGATACAGACATTGAACCGGACAGCGATACGGACATTGAACCGGACAGTGATACAGACATTGAACCGGACAGCAATACGGACATTGAACCGGACAGCGATACGGACATTGAACCGGACAGTGATACGGACATTGAACCGGACAGCGATACGGACATTGAACCGGACATTGATACGGACATTGAACCTGACAGAGAAACTGA